TGCGGTCAATGAGGAACATGCTGCCCGTGTACTTGGCGGCCGTACTGGAGGAGATGGGAAAGCGGTAGACGGCGAGGACGGCGCCCAACAGCGCCATGCTAGAGCCGAAGATATAGTGGTGGAGGAGGAAGCGGACGACGCCGTAGAGGAAGACGATGACACCGCCCGCGAGGACGCTGCCCACCACCAGCGTCTCATTGGCGTTCAGGGTGCTGCGAGAGAGGTCGAATCCGGTGGCGTGGAGGACGATGGAGCCGACCAGAGCGCGGTAGTAGTCGGTGATCACCGCCAGCGCCGCGTCCCACTGCTGCTGGTGGGCGTAGTAGGCGACGGCGCCGATGCCCAGGCCAAAGGCGACGACGATGAGGCGCTCGAGAAGGGCCAGTGCTCGCGAGGCAGGACTAGATCGGCGCACGGTGACGTTGACCATCGTAGCTTGAGAAGGTTTCGAGTCAAAGATGAGACTGAAGAGCCAACAAGAGAGGCGATAGCTTAGGTAGAGCGCCACCAGGGTGAAGATGACACGCTTGTGGTGCTTCTCCACCACCAGGGTAAAGTCTTTTGGCAGGTGCTTTGTCCAGCTGCGTACGTAGTGCTTCATGTCCATCATTGCTGAGAGATTACCAAAGTTAACGAAAGAGTGAGTGACGAAAGTGAGTAAGTACAGAAAAATGGAGATTCTGAAGAAAGAAAAAAAAGGAGAGCTGTGTTAAGGAAGAGCTGCAAAGTGTGACTGGATGCAGGGATGGACAGAGTCCTGGATGGATGGATGGTCAAAGATGGAAGGCACTCAAGGACGCCCAAGTAAACAGTGCGTCGCATTATCTGAAGAGCGTCCGATATGCAACGCCAGGAACACTTACCACGCTCTAAGCCACGTTTCCTTCGGCCACTAACGTCATTCGCCCACTCAACAGCAGCGTCGATAATCCTGGTAATCGGTGGCCGATAATCAGTGGATGGAGGAAGAGTCCGACCCAGTCCAATCGTGATTGCCAGCAGTGGTGGTGAGCAGATGGCCAAGGGAGCGAAAGTGTCTTTCCCTTTTGCGCAGTTGTCTTCGTTTGGTCAGTCAGTAAGTGGCGCCCAACGTTACCACATTTGCCAGTAAAGGTATTCAGTAAAGTTCAGTAACTGGGAGACCAAAGCTGAGACGCCTAAACATAAACATAAACAAACGACAGATCTTCTAAAGGGCAACTTGGCGAAGAGCAGTGCGTGGGCGGGATTCAGGCGCTCCATCTTTGCTCTGTATTTGCTGTGTGTGTTGTGGGAACATCAGAATGCAGTGTGTTCCTTCTCTCTCCTAAAGTGAATCCCTGTACAAACACTGAAGCTGACACTCGCCATCACTATATACCCCACCGCCACCACCTGCTTCGGGTCGACTGGCAACTGTTCCGAACCATTGGTATATAGCCTCCTCCTGAGACTGCGGCTGACCGTGATCACCAGTTCAGCAGAGCCCTTCAACGTTGCTGCCTGTCTGCCATTTCAGTCCGGTCGGTCGGTCGCCGCGTCCCCCCGAAGAACAACACTACCGCCGCCACAGCGGAATGTGAAACAAGGAATGAACTCCTCGAATACAAAGGAACTGTACCAGTGATCAGTTGCCATCACCGGCGACTGTTGCCAGTCAGGGGAGAGGCCCTTTGCCCAGGTGGTGTCACCCCTTCCCACTCAAATGCCCATCTTGACGAAGCAGCTGACATTGACAGGAGGCGTGACAACAACAACTAAATCAGCATCAGAAGAACAAAAACAAGAACAGCAACTGACCGCAGAGAGGCCTGGGAACGATGATTGAAACCATTCACCGACAGGCAATTTTGAAGCTGATCAACTACTTCACCAGGACGCCCAGTAACCACGACGCTCAGGCGACGACAAACAGCAACAGCAGCAGTGGTGAAGCGCAGCTGTACCGCTTCAAAGAGCCCTGTGATTTCATCAACCTCCCGTCCATCACCCGACTGGGCGCCGTCATCAGCAAGTTCGACCAGTTCTTCCGTCCCAGTGGCCACCTCTTGGAAGCGGCACACAGCCTGAAGAGCCCCTACAACAGCGTCAACATTCTCTACTTGCAGCAGATTACCGAGCTGGTGCAGTTCATTGAGCTCAATCTCTTTGACAGTATTCCCAATATTCGCAATGAACGCATCAACGTAGACACCTCACAGGCGCTGCAAAGTTCAGAGCACCTCCACGCGCTGATACTGATCATCAAGGACTGGATTCAGCAGTTCTACATTGACGATACGAACATCCTTCCCTCGATATTTCCGGTGCTGAACGAAGGTAAGAGTAGAGTGAAGTTATATTTTTTTGTCCCTCAACAAACCTCTTTTCAATTTCTATTTTCGAACAGAACGCACTATCTTCAAGCTGGTGGACATCACCGAGAACAACATCTGCGTCTGGGCGATACTGATCTTCAACGTGATCTACAAGCTGCGCGACTGCTTTCCCGAGTACACGCACGTGCTCGACTTCTCATGGAGTTTCCTCTTCTACGCCACCATGGAGAACCTCGCCGACGTGGTCCGCTTCGACAGTAACTTCATCAGCAGCCTCCTGCAGACGTCGCTGCTGTACGCGCGAATGGAGGAGGAACAGGAGCGGCAGACGTACGCCGCCCAGTACAAGCAAATTGAGACGCTCCAGGCGAAGATTGTCGAGACGAAGAAGCGCTCGCAGGCGCTGCTCATGTCGCACGCCGGCGGCGGCGTCGGGGGCAAGGGCGGCGCCGGCAAGGGCCTGGGAAACAGTGCCGCCCTCATCAGTAGTGCCACCAACATCACACAGATTGCTGTTCCGCAGATGGGCACAGCAGCAGCAATGAGGACAATAACGGGTGGTGGTGCTGGCGGTACGAAAAACTCCAGAGCAAAAGCAGGTGGTAAACGAGGTGCTGCCGGTGGAGGTGCGTTTCTTACTGTTGTGGGTGCGATTTTTGTTAGCTTTTCTAACCGCTTTTTCATTCTGCAGGTTTTCACTCTACCGTCGCCGGCTCTTCTGCCTCCACCGCCACCACCAACACCACGTCGAATGCTCTGCTGAACGAGAAGCCGTACCACTGTCATTCATGCAATAAGACCTTTCCCACGTCGTACAAGCTGAACCGGCACGCCTACTCGCACTCGGGCGAGCGCCCGTACCAGTGCACCTGGCCGAACTGTGAGAAGCGCTTCAATGACAACTACCACCTGCGACGGCACACCAACACGCACACCGGCGACAAGCCCTTTCCTTGCAAGTACCCTGGCTGTTCTAAGCGGTACTCCCGATCGGAGGATCTGCGCAATCACCAGAAGACGCACTATCCAAACAGTGGTGGTGGTGGTGGCGGTGGTGTTGGTGGTTCTATCATGACCCACAACCACCAGCCAAACACTGCCACAAACCACAACAACGTCCCCATAGATGAGCACAAATTCAATCTCATCGCAGTTCAGCAACACCAGCAGCAGCAGCAACAACAACAGCAGCAGTCTCAGTCGAACAACCCCTCCTCCCAGCAGCTGTCATCAATCGCTGTACCGACTCAGCAGTACGCCTCGCTGCCCGTGGTGACCACTTCGATGGTGGTCGCCGCCCACCCGCACCAGGCGCCGCTCCCGATGAGCAGCAAGGCGGCGGCGCAGGCTGCGGTGGCCGCCGCCGCTGTCAGTGCCACCGCCGTCACGCCCGATCAGGTGCTGGTGCTCAATCAGCTGCACATGCAGCTTCAGCAGCAGCATCAGCAACAGGTACAACAGCAACAGCAGCAGCAGCAGCAGCAATCAAACAACACCTTCTCCTCGATGTCACCGGTGCTCTCCGATGAGACCACGACCAGCCTCCTTCTGGCACAGGAGCAGCAGCAACAACAACAGTCCACAGCGGCATCGTCAGCGCAAAATCACGTGCAGGCTGGTTTGCACTCAATTGCAGACTATAATTTTTAGCGAATGTTGACTTCTCCTCCATCATTATCATCATCCCCGATCNGCAACAACAACAACAGTCCACAGCGGCATCGGCAGCGCAAAATCACGTGCAGGCTGGTTTGCACTCAATTGCAGACTATAATTTTTAGCGAATGTTGACTTCTCCTCCATCATTATCATCATCCCCGATCATCCCACCCCTCTCTTAACTTGCAATACCCTAATTATTATTTATATAACTTTCCAGTTTTTATATATTTCCTTGCTCAGATCGACGTTGACACACCTATTTATTTCCCCTTCTTCTTATTACTTCTGTCACCCGGTAATCGGATCGCTTTTATTAAATATATTAAATATATTGGATTATTAACAAACAGATACAAAGAATACAAAGAATACAGCTCATATTTACATCTGATTTTAGAAGACATCTATTATCTTCACAGTTAATCTATTTCAGTCACCGCGGGAAACTGCACCACTTCCACCTCGATCTCCTCAGTGGCCACCACTTCCTCTCCCTTCATCTGGAAGCCTCCTCCTCCATCCTCTCCATCTTCTTCCTCGGTGTCCTCCTCCTCCTGGAACACCTCTTTGTAGACAGTCATCTCGCGACCGTCCTCATCTTCCGAGTTCTCATTAGCGTCAGCCTTCGCTTCCGTCTCGTCCACCTTCGCGGTCTTCACCTTCTTCTTCTCGTTGACGATCGCCTGGCGGAGAACGGCCGCGTCGGGCATCACGCGGTTGGTGTACTTCTCCAGAAAGTTGCGCATCGTTTTGATCTTCTGAAAGGAAATCTTATTCTCGGCGAACATCTCCGCCAGGTCCTGGTTGAACTCCTCGTCGCCTATGTAGCGCTCCTTGAGGGGGGCCAGTCGGCCGGTGTGCGTCGAGCCCTCGATGTGCTTCACCACGTTCTCGTAGCCGTCGATGATGCCCACGTCGCATTTGTTGCACCACAGGCTCTTCTGCTTGGCCTTGCCCTTCAGGGAGATCACATTGCCAAAGTCGGCGAGAATTCGGCTGACGTCGTGCTTCTGCTTCGCCTCCACGTGACGGGCGTCCTTGATGTGCGAGCGAAGGCTCCGTAGGGTGTCGGGCAGTGTCACCCGGCAGGGGTTGCAGAAGAGATCGTTTCCGTAGATGGAGAAGGTTTTGTCGGTGAGCGTCTCGGCGACGGCGCTAAAGTCCGCCTCGCAGGTCATGTAGCGAATGGTGGCGTTCAGGTGGTCCTCCACGCCGAGGTGCCGAAGGAGGTGCTTCTTGTTGATCTTCTTCTGGCAGGGGTTGCAGTAGACGGACATCTCACAGTCGGCCGAGGGCGTCTTTCGCGTGGAGACGATGTTCGAGAAGATGCCCTTGTTGTTGTCCATGATGCTCTGCACGTCGGGCGGCTTGCTGTACGACATTGGATCCGGCGAGCGATAGTACGACTTGTGAATGGGAAGTTCACTGTGCGGCCCGAGATCGTTGAAGTGCACGGGATAGTTGCAGGCTTTACACAGCACTTTCTGTTCGAAAGACCTTTCAAACCTTCCCTTCTGATAGAAAGTATAGAGGCCCGGGTAGTTATTGAAGACCTCTTGCACCGCGCTGTACGTTTCGCCATCTTTGACCCGCTTTCTTTCCGCTGCTTCAGCCGCACTTTTGCGTCTTTTCTCTTGCGCCTCTGCTGATGTTGAGGCATGTAGTCGTGCCGTAAACTCCTCTGAATCACTAAGAATGATCGTTTCAATTCTGTAAAGAATAGTAAATTTTGATAAAACTCATGAAACCACTTGAGATTAACAACAACAACAACTTACGGTCGTTTGTTTTTGGTGTTTGGTTTGATCGCAATGTATCCTGGCACCGAAAATGAATCAACGTCCTCATCTTTCACCAAGACAAAAATGCTCTCTCCGGCAGCAGCCATTAGAATCTGTTTTCATGAGAAGTTTAAAAAGATTGAAAGGAGTGCTGAGGATACAACTTGCAGTATTCCGAACGTTCCAAGTTTTGCCTGTTCTCGATCTCTACCACTGCCACTGCACACTCTTCACCGTGAAAGGGAAAGTTTTCTAGACACTCAGCCAGAAAAAAGGCTGGCAGGCTTGGCTGAGGGCGGGGCACAGGTCATCAGGAAATGCACGCTCAAAGGTGCTGTATGCTCCGCCCCCGGCTGGCTACCCGCTTCCGATGGCGAAGCGTACCTTTGACAAAACAACAAATCTTGTTGTTTTGCTTTGACGACGCTCGGAGTTTAGATCATCGGCCTTTTGCTCTCTCCTTTTATCGTCTGAAATCGGCCATTATCCTCGTCTGAACAGCAAACATGCTGTCCCTCGACGACCAGGACGCCAAGCCGCCGCTGGATGGGAACAACGCCAACAATGACCAGTCTCGGGAGCTGTCGTCCATCTTTCCGCTACCGCCGATGCGTTACATCAAACTGTACACTGATCAGAACCTGAAGAACAAGTGCACCCCACCTCCGCCGAAGCCCTTTCCCAACAATGGCAACTTTCTCATGTTCGGCCAGACGATTGCCATCGACGACACCATCATTCGGTCTCTCGAGTCGCAGGGCCTCAGGCGGCTGTACCCGCGCGAGTACGACCACAAGAAGGAGCTCAAAAAGATTAACGCGTCCATTCTGGTGAACTTTCTCGATCTGATTGACGTCCTCATTCGGTGTCCTGATACGCCGAAGCGGGAGGAAAAGTGCAACGATATACAANTGCCATCGACGACACCATCATTCGGTCTCTCGAGTCGCAGGGCCTCAGGCGGCTGTACCCGCGCGAGTACGACCACAAGAAGGAGCTCAAAAAGATTAACGCGTCCATTCTGGTGAACTTTCTCGATCTGATTGACGTCCTCATTCGGTGTCCTGATACGCCGAAGCGGGAGGAAAAGTGCAACGATATACAGTTGTGCTTCATTACCGTATGTAGATTGTTACCGAGAAATTTCGTAGATGTTAAACCTAACATTGGTTCACTCTTTACATTTCAGATGCACCACCTGATCAATGAGCTCAGGCCACACCAGGCACGTGAGTCAATACGTGTGGCACTGCAGTTCCAGAAGAAGCAGCGAATGGAGACGACCAACCGGCTAAATAAGCACATTGAGCGAGTGCAGGAGATGGTGAAGAGCGCCTGTGACTCCATATCAGACCGCAACATCGACACCATCATCCAGGAGACGCTGCCGGAGAACTTTCAACGGCCTCGAAAGAAGAAGAGCACTACCACTACCACCTCCTCCTCCGCCACCGGCACATTATTCTCATCAAACGGCGGCTCTACTTTCCACTCCAGCGACAGCAGCTCAGAGGATTTTAATGAGCCGGCAAACCTCACTGAGCGTGTCACCAGAAATCTCCAACAGGACGCCATCATGTGCGACCTGGTGGATGAGATTTTTTGAAGAGATCTTAGTGTACCACCATCACAATCAATGTACATCATTCACCCGCATCTTNCCGGCACATTATCCTCATCAAACGGCGGCTCTACTTTCCACTCCAGCGACAGCAGCTCAGAGGACTTTAATGAGCCGGCAAACCTCACTGAGCGTGTCACCAGAAATCTCCAACAGGACGCCATCATGTGCGACCTGGTGGATGAGATTTTTTGAAGAGATCTTAGTGTACCACCATCACAATCAATGTACATCATTCACCCGCATCTTTTCGCTACATTAAACTCGGATTTGGTCTCCACTTCGGAATCGCTTCTCCTCGAGGATCTCCCGACCATTCGCAGAGAACGTTCACCAGTGTTTGTTGACAAAGTCTCNGACTTTAATGAGCCGGCAAACCTCACTGAGCGTGTCACCAGAAATCTCCAACAGGACGCCATCATGTGCGACCTGGTGGATGAGATTTTTTGAAGAGATCTTAGTGTACCACCATCACAATCAATGTACATCATTCACCCGCATCTTTTTGCTACATTAAACTCGGATTTGGTCTCCACTTCGGAATCGCTTCTCCTCGAGGATCTCTCCCGACCATCCGCAGAGAGCGTTCACCAGTGTTTGTTGACAAAGTCTCTCTCTCCCTTTCCTACTAACAAGTTCGTGTGATTTACCGAAGAGATGAACGGAGACAGACAGAGTCAGTCTGCTGGCACAATTTATCAGTTTGCTGTGAATCCCAAGTTCTGAATTAAGTTCAGCAGCAGCAGCGGCAGCTTCGGCGCCGTACATTTGGTGGGCAATGTTTGCGTAGGTGTGCTCCCGCGGCTGCTTCTGCAGCAGCAGTTGCTGTTGGTAGTGCTGGTGATGGTAGTGCTGTCGCTCCCGCCTCGCACCATAAATAGCTCTCGATGTCTGGATTCATTCAGTCGCCCACTTTCACCGCCGCTCCGCTGCATTTGCTGCTCCTCGCATCGACTGACTCCGGATGCAGCTGCTGCATTGCCAACAACAGACTGTGTCCATTGACTATTTATGTGCATTTGAGGGCAATCGACGACGGTGTGCCAAGTGTGCCTGCGCCTGACTTCTGCAAGTGGCAGAGAAATCCAAATCCATTCGCATCTGAAGGAAAAGAGTGTCCGTGTCGTGGCCTTTCGACTTTGGTACTATCCTCCTCCTCATCAGCGTCATCGGCATCGCCATCATTATCGGGTGATTGTGTGTTGACTGGTACTCTTTATCATCACCACCACCAGCAGTGTGTTCAACTTTAGAACTGTGATTTGTGTTGAATTGTAAACAACAGCAGTACAGTCATGGACGATATCTTTCACTGGTGCAAGGATGGCAATGCAATGCTGGTTCGAGTGTGGCTGGACGATACGGCGCACGACATGAATCAGGGGTAAGGGGGCACTTTGCTTTCTGTACAACAATTCTAACATTCTAACATTCTCCAGCGACGACCACGGCTTCTCGCCCCTCCACTGGGCGTCCTTTTCCGGACACACCCAGATCGCGGAGATGCTCGTCTCGAAGGGGGCGCGCATCAATGCGACGAACATGGGCGACGACACGGCGCTGCACCTGGCGGCCGCTCACGGCCACCGAGACGTGGTGATGCTGCTGCTGAAGAACAAGGCGGACATCAACCTGCTGAACGAGCACGGCAACACGCCCCTGCACTACGCCTGCTTCTGGGGCTACCGCGACATTGCCGAGGACCTGATCAACTCGGGGGCAATCGCCAACATTAGCAACAAGTACGGCGAGATTCCCTTTGACAAGTGCAAAGGTAGGCGAGATCAGTTGGGCAGTTCAATTTTGTACAGGTACCATTTCACCTTCTCCTCTTCCAGGCCTCCTCCGCCAGCAGCTGGACGAGCTGGCCATCTCCAACGGCCAGGACATGTCGCGCAAGTTCGCCTACAAGGACCAGGCGTGGTACGGGACGACGAAGCGCTCCCGGGACGCCACGCTCTCCCGCTTCGCCGGCCTCGCCCTGGAGGAGCTGCTGCTGCAGTCGAAGGTGAGCAGCACGCCGTCCGGGGAGACGTGGAAGGGCGTCTGGCAGCGTAACAAGACGGAGATCAGCGCCAAGTTCCTCGCCGTGGGCGGTGAGGCGCGCATTCCGCGCGACTTTGCCGAGGAGTACCCCCGGCTGCGCATCTTCTCCCACCCGAATGTCCTCCCGGTGATCGGGTGCGTCAACTCGCCGCCCAACCTGGTGGTGGTCAGCCAGTGGATGCCCTACGGGTCGCTCTACAAGATCCTCCACGAGGGCTCGCCCATCGTGGTGGACACGCACCGGGCGCTGCAGTTTGCCATTGACATAGCGCGGGGCATGGCCTTCCTCCACACGCTCAATCCGCTGATTCCGCGCTTCTATCTCTCCTCCAAGCACATTATGGTTAGTGGGATGAAACTTGGTTTTTTAAAACACTTCATAACTTTCTTCATTTCCTTTCGCCAGATCGACGAAGACCTGACTGCCCGCATCAACATGGCGGACGCCAAGTTCAGCTTCCAGGAGAAAAACAAGCTGTACAGTCCGGCGTGGATGGCCCCCGAGGCGCTGCAGAAGAAGCACTCGGAGATCAACGTCCGCGCCGCGGACATGTGGTCCTTCGCCATCCTCCTCTGGGAGCTGATCACCCGCCAGGTGCCCTTCAGCGAGCACTCGCCCATGGAGGTGGGCATGAAGATCGCCCTGGAGGCGCTGAGGGTGTCCATTCCGCCGGGCATTTCGCCGCACATGTCGCGCCTGATCAAGATCTGCATGAACGAGGAGCCGGGCAAGCGGCCCTCCTTTGATCAGATCATTCCCATTCTCGAGAAGATGAAGCTCTCGTGAAGTTAAAGGGGACAAATAAGAAGGAAACTGCCAGAACGGAAATAGAGAGATAGCCACCACCACTAACTGCCTTCAACTGACCTACACATACAACCACACACCCATTGGACCGATTCGAAAGGAATGCAAAGCGAAACTATTGTCAGGGATCTATCTACAAACGCACTACTTCTACTTCTACTACTACCGAAATGAAATATTCTAATTTATTTTAATTCAGTTGCGCTGATTGAGTTTTGAAAAAATCCTGTTTTTACCACTTTGTTTTTATAAGAAAATCATTAAATATTTTCAGTATTAATTAGGATAACGAGGTGTGTGAGCGTTTGTTTTGATAACTAATTAGCTGGTGTGTGCTAATGAACACCGAAGGACACAACGTTTTGCTATAAAAGTAGCAGCAAGCTCTGGCGAGCAGTTGACAAACTACGGCGAGTTTTCAGCTTTCGCGGCAGCGACAGTATCAGACAGCAAATTACGTTGTTTTTGCCGGCCATATGCGCACACAGTGCCGAGCACATGGTAAACACGGCAAAGCTCAGGGCAGCATTCAGAGCTGCACAGACGGCCATCGTAGCCAGCGGTGATTGTGAGCCGCAAAGCAACACTTCCAATCTCAACATGGCTACCACTTCGGGACCGGGGACATCGGTCCCGGAAGCAGCAGCACCACCGCCGGCACCACCGCACCTATCACAATCAGCACCACCGGCAGCAGTGCTACCAACACCAGCACCAGCGGTACCACGGCCATCACAATTCACACAACCTTCACCCGAAGAACTAGTCGCACAACTGGCAGCACTGTTATCACCAACACCAGGTCGAGAACGAGCCGACAAAATCGCCAAACTAACCCTGCATGCGAAGGCTTCCTCACTGGCGGACCTGCTCTTTGATGGGAAGCTGGGAAAGGGGGACGAGGAGTTGCCAGCGGAGATGCTGCAACGTCCTGCCATCTCCTACGTGGACGAGGACTACGCCACCCACCGCCTGACGTACGGGGAACTGCTGCAGTACTGCAGAGAGATGATGAAACAGCTGTCCGAGGTGAATATTCCAAAGGCTCTTCCACGAAGCAGTGTCATTAGGAACGTCAAAACCGGCGACCGTCAACAGCCAGGCTCGTTTAGGCTGTTGCCCATCATCGTTCTCTACGGTGAGTGCTCCCAGTTGACGCCCGTCTTCATGACGGCCATCAGCCATTACGGGGCCGCCTTCTACTCGGTCGAACGCCAGGAGCAGCTGAAGGAGGCTCTGCGCGTGCTGCCGCCCAACACGGTGGTCGCCATCATTGCCCACGCCTACCGCATCGACGAGCTGAAGACGGTGCTCCAAGCCACAGGAAAAGTGATTAGAAAAATGAAGGGCTTTGTACTGCCACATTCGGAGTACTACATTGTCTGTCTGAAGGAGACTCTCGAGGTGAATGTGGCGGACTCTACTGCTTCCAATTTGGCTCCCATTCAACTTCCAATTGCCTATCTGATCAACACCTCGGGCACAAGCAGATCTCTGGCGGCGGCGGCGGCGGTTACTGCTGCTGCTCCTGATGTTGCCAATGGTGACACACCTCCTCAGCCATCCACCTCCACTTCCTCCACCTCCTCCTCCTCCTGTGCACTCCTCCCCACCACCAAGTACGTCTTTGTGCCTGCGCCGGCCATTCTCAACAACATCCTCGACTTCTCCGCTCGCTTCTCCCTCCAGCCGGACAGCGTCCTCCTCCTCTGTTCGCCCTTCACCTTCGACCCGGCCCTCTGTGACGCCTTTCTCGGCCTTTCCGCCGGTGCCCACATCGTTCTGGTGTGCAACTCGCTGCGAAACTCTGCGAATCGAATGCGACTGATCATCATGCAGTTTGGCGTCACCTACGCCACCATGACGGCCTCTCACTGGCGAATGCTCACCTCGGCCTGCCCTGTACCGGTGCTCCGTGAGCTGCTGGCCACCTTTAGGCAGCTCAACTTTGGCGGCGAGCTCGGCCCTTCGAAGGCTGAGCTGTCTGCCATTTCGAATATCAAACCAAAGCTGTGCATCTTTAACCTGTATGGCGTCACTGAGGTAAGCGCCTGGGCGTCGCTCACACCCTTCTCGGTGGCAAGTTTGCGGGAATCGTCCACTGAGAACTACCATATTCTGGCTGAGCAATACTATGCCAAACATCTGCCCATAAGCGGTCGCAGAGTACGGGTCCACCCCGATTATCGCTTTTTTGTACCGATGATCAACACTGTTGTGGAAGTTAAGGGTGATACTGAAGAGATTTGCATACATAGTCCCGTTCGACGGTGTCTCATCTACACTCCAGCTAAGGCTGATGGACAATCGACTGGCAGCAGCAGCAGCAGCAACCTCCCCCCACAGTGGACGTACCTTTCCACCCACTTCACTGGAGATCGAGGACGTAAACATGCTTGCAAGACGAATGCGGGGAACTACAACATATACTACAACTTTCGACTCGTCCAGGACGACGTGGTGAAGGTGAACGGCATCAAGTGCTACCTGAGTGAAGTTGGCCGCTTCATGCGAGAGTACTTTCGACCGGTTAACCCTAGAAATCACGGCATCACGGTGGTGCACAGCCTGGCGACGGTCGCCGACTGGCACGCCTGGCCGAAGGCTCTCATCGACCTGACGCTGGTCTACGAGAAGGCGGCGACGGCGGAAGAGGAGAAGAACAAGAACAAGAAAGACGACCGCCTTTACTGCTCCTGGCAAACGAGGCTGCACGTGGCCGTGATTTTGGCTCAAAAGTTTGGCAAGAACTTTGCTTTTCGGCTGCACCTGCACGACGTGGCGACGGTGGGCGCCGATGTGCTGAACGCCAGCGGAAAGCTGGACACCGGTCGGCTGCAGGCGCTGGCACTGCGACGCAGCCGCCGGCAGACCTACTTTCATGATAATCTGCTGCCGAAGCGGTGCACAAGTAAAATGCCCTCGAAGGAAAAAGAGCTGGTGAAAGGGCACATCAAGGCGGGCGTCACCGTACTCCTCTTCTCGGTTCTTAAGCACCTGCACCAGAACCTTGCGACCCTTACAGACAGTGGTATGGTCGACTTGAATCTGAACGCCCTGGGCGTCTCCTCCATCGGCCGTTTGCAGTTTGCCGTGGAGCTGGAGAGTGCCTTTGCTGAGGGCTTTGCAGGGCTCGATGCGGAGGCGATGCAAGCTTTCTTCGACATTGTCAACAGCTGCTCCATAGGGCGCATTGTGCAGTACGTGCAGGCGCTCTTTGAAGAGGAGAAACCAGCAGGACCAGCAGGACCAGCAAGACCAGCACAACAAGCACAACCAACACCAGCACCGGCAGAACCAGCAGCACCGAAACCACCAGCAGCAGTTGCTAGGATCGAGCCAAAAGCACCGAAACCTCGGCCGGTTGTGCAAGTCTCCCAGCTGAGCCACCGAGTGAAGGTGTTTGAAGGCGTCGAGGAGCTGCAGGAGCGCATCGTCGAGCCCTACTCCTGCACGCCCCAGTGGAGCTACTTTATGGAGGAGTGCGTCGACTCGACGCCGCTCATCGTCATCTACCAAGGCGTGGTAAGTGTGCTGCTGATGACTCTTTAATATATTCCGAAACATTGAACATTCTTTGTCCACCCCTGCAGACCTACCTCATCACCGCCTCTCACTCGGGCATGGTCGCCGCCCTGGACGCCTACTCTTCATCAGGTGTTGGCCCACAGCAGCAGCCGTACCGCGTTCTCTGGACCCGACACCTTCTCTCTCGCATCGACTCCGGTCCGGTGGCGAGCACCGACGGCCGCCTCACCTTCCTCTGTCCCCGTTCAGCCCACCTAATGGCCCTGGCCACCGCCACCGGGGACACGGTGTGGAGCGTCCTGATTGACAGCAGCGTACGGAATTCGCCCACGGTGGTGGGCAGTCGAGTCCTGGCCGGCTCACACAATGGCCGCCTCTTCTGCTGCGAGACGGAGCGCGGTCTGGTGCTGTGGTCGGCGGACCTGGAGGCGGGCGGCATCGTCGCCTCGCCGGTGCTCTACCACACCAAGAAGAGCCCGCGGGAGGCGCGCGTGCTGGTGGCCACGGTGACCGGCCTCATCGCCGGGCTCGCCCTCGACACGGGCGTCATTCTCTGGAGACTGCCCTTCAGCACTGGCAGCCGATACGAGAGCGTCTTTGCGACGCCACTGGTCATGGGCCACCGGGCGGTGGTCTGCCTCGTCCAGGAGCGCATTGTCTGCGTCTCGCTGGGCGAAAACCCGGCCTATTCGAAGAACAGGACCCGCTGGAGCGTGCCCATTGCCAGGCCGGTGACCTCCGGTGGCGCCGGCATTGTGGTGAATCGCGGCGGAGACCACTTCTGCTCGCCGGTGGGCGTGCGCCTTCCTGATGGCCGACAGGCGGCCATTGTGGCCACCCACTGCCGGGCAGTCTACTGCGTGGACGTCGCCGACGGGAAGGTGCTGTGGTGCACGGCCGCCGCCGCCTCCATCCACTCGGTGCCCTTTCTGGTCGGCCACGGCGTCATTGTGGTGGACACCATCGGCAACCTCCAGCTGCTGGACGTCTTCACCGGCAAGGCCATTGCTGCCCGCGCCATTACGAGTGCGCCTGGGAACAGCAGTGATGGTGGAGATGGGAATGATGAGGGTGAAGGCGGTGATCGAAAGAAGAGTCGCTGCACCAGCTTCCGCATTAGCAAATGGAAATTCGGCAAGGCCGTCCACGATCTCTGCTCCACTTCTGACCAGCCCAAGGAGGTGGACCAGCTGAGGCTCACCCCGATGGTCCACTCTTCGCCCATCCTCCACCAGGGCAAGCTGTTCATTGGGGCGCGGGACAACTACCTGCACTGCTTTACCTTGAACCTGTCCTATGAACGGGACGGCAGCATCACCGACACCAGTCGATTCTACCCAAAGATAGTTCCTTCGGCTTGAATTTGTAAATATCTTTTCTCTCTTGTATTTTTGTTTGTTTCCCAGTTAAATCTGAAAAACTGCTAAACTTTGTTTTTTCTTGTTGATTGTCGTACAGTCCTCTTTTATTTTAGTAGAAAACAAGCGCTTGGTACAGTTGCTGGTAGATGTGCTGACAAAAAAACATACAGGAAAAAGATAACTGTCAAAAATAGAGTGAGTCTTAGAGCAGTCCTCTGGCAGGCTTCAAGGGTTTTAAAAACAAGGTAGTGTAAAAACAATGTCATGGGTAGTTGTTGTTTGAACCGAAATGGGGAGTCCTTGATAAGAGCAGTGGTTGTGGAGGGAGGGGGTGAGATGATTATGGCGATGAGATAAGGTGTAGTGATGGTAGTAATGATGATGAGCCACCACCGCCACTAGCTGATGAGTTGCGATGCTGAACCCTTCTTTGCATTGTCCGTGTGCACCTTCTCAAATGGGCAAAAAATGATTACGAGTTAGTTTCAGCAGTTATTGGTAGATCACCATCAAAAACAAGCAAGCATACCCAGAGGTGTCTGTGCAGATTATACTTCCGACTGAAACGCTGGNTCTTGATAAGAGCAGTGGTTGTGGAGGGAGGGGGTGAGATGATTATGGCGATGAGATAAGGTGTAGTGATGGTAGTGATGATGATGAGCCACCACCGCCACTAGCTGATGAGTTGCGATGCTGAACCCTTCTTTGCATTGTCCGTGTGCACCTTCTCAAATGGGCAAAAAATGATTACGAGTTAGTTTCAGCAGTTATTGGTAGATCACCATCAAAAACAAGCAAGCATACCCAGAGGTGTCTGTGCAGATTATACTTCCGACTGAAACGCTGGTCACAGTTAGGCCAGGTGCAGGGAAAGTTGCGCGTCCCCAGATGCGTGTCGATGTGCCTTTTAAGGTGATAGCTGTTGATACAGTTCATTAGTAAAGTGAAAACACATTTTAGTGGCACTGCAGTTGATACCTGTAGTTGAAACGCTTTCGGCACTCCGTATAAGGACAGGTAAACGGCTGAAAGCCACTGTGCGTTCGCCCGTGTCGGTTCAGGTTGTACAGATTGACGAAAACCTTTTCGCAGATATTGCACTTGTACTCGGTTTTGCCTGGTAAAACACGGGGGTAAAAGGTTCAGAGATCAGTGTGTTTAAGCTGATTCACAAGCAGAAGTACCTTTGGCTTTTCCCTCTCTCATGTCGCTGTTGTTGCCGTCTCCGTTGCTGCCGCTGCTGCTATTGCCACCATTCAAATTGGAGTGCACCAAACTGAAGATCGTCTGCCCAGTGCTCGGATCAATGTTCTCGTGGATGCCCGCAAAGTCCATCATCAGCTGGGCTGGCACTTGCGATGCCAGTGCTCCACCAGAGGTGCCCTGGCCACCACCACCACCACCACCGCCGCCATTGTTGATAGCCGCAGAGAGTTGCTCTGCCTGGGTGAGCTTCTTGAAGAGAATCGACTGTTGAGTGGCGTCAACGGCCGAGCCCACAGCACTGTTGACCATTTGCATGCGCAGCTGGTTGAGACGTAGTTTGCTGTTCTGCGCCCGCTTGCGCTGTTTGATGGCGCCCGGGGTGTTGCTTAGCTTAGCTGAGTTTGACTCACTCTGCACCTGAACGGGTTTGAGAATCTGTATGGGGCCGTTGTCGGTGTTCACCTGGTGCTGGATGAAGGTCGTCTGATCGTTGCCGAAATGCGAATTGTGCTGGTTGCCCTGCTGTTGCTGCTGCTGGTGCTGCTGCTGATCCGGAGTGGCGCCGTTCAGCTGCAACCACAGAGTGTTGGCGTTTCGAGACAGAAGATCATTCGAGGCAGAAGACACTCCTAAAAGAGACGCTGCAGAGTAGTTTACACCTGCAGAAATGGCCGGTACCGCAGACGTTGCTGCTGCCGCCGCCGCCGGAGCGACATTGTTGTGACCTCCATTCTGTTGTTGCTTGAAGCTGAGCGCGCCGATGTTGTCGAGGACGGGCAGTGTCCCGCTGAGGTAGGACGTTGCACTGCCGTTGTATGAGTTGATCATTGAGGACAGCTTCTGCAGGTCAGATATAAAATGCTTTGATTTGTTCTGATTGCGACATCGGTCTATGAGGTGAATGCAAACGCGTGCAATGTTGGACAGCTTTTGGTTCTCCTGCATCAGCAGATTAATGTCCAGCGAATTCGTGGACACCATCGACGTTGACTGGTGGGAATGCTGTTGTTGCTGCTGCTGATTCTGGTGAGCAGAAGTGGAAGTGTTGTTAGTGGAGTTGTGATGCTGTTGATGTTGCTGTTGATGTTGCTGCTGCTGTTGATGGTGGTGATTATTTTGAAGTATGTAACTCTGCAGCTGGTGATGCGCCACCGACTGACTGTCAAAGGAGGCGCCGTCGTTGGTGTTTAGTGCCTCAAACAGCTGCTGCTGTTGCTGCTGATGAACATTGGTGGTAGCACTTTTTGGTAATTTAATTATGTCATTATAGCTGTTGTTGGCAGCGTGAGATATGCTGGAAGCACTTGAGGAGTTGGCGTGAAGTTCTGCCAGTTTAATCATCGAGTTGTAGCTTGTGACATGAAGTGGATCAATGTTCTGAGAAGAGGATTTTCCTGAAGACGATTGCTGCTGCTGTTGTTGTTGCTGCTGTTGTTGAGCCTGGCTGGCTGCCGCCTCAACTAGTTGCTTAATCTGCGCCTCATTCATGGTCGTCTTCAGTCTGTCGATCATCTTCTGTTGATCATTGACCTGGGGTGAGACGATGTTGATGATGGGTTGCTGGCGAAGTACTGTCACATGCTAATAGAAGCGAAGAAGTGCTGAAAACCTTGTCAGTTGCTGCTGTTCTAAATGAAAAAGGCGGCGCCGTTTAGGAAAAGAAGGCCAGTCGATCAGCCACAATGATGTCATACCCTGGCGGAAAATGTTTTTCCAGCAGTTATGCAAACTCTTCCACTAAAGCGGATGTGAGCTGACGGAGAATCTTCAAGTGCGTGCAGAAATCAAGGATATCTCGAGGATCTCGAGGCCAAATCGTAAATATTGAAAGAAACATGCAGCAGCAGAAGCAACTGAAAACAATGCCGTAAACTTTCTCCAGCGCTTTCGGGAACAATGCTTGGAGTTGTATTTCGTGTGAATTTAAAAGTCCACTTTGAGATAATCAGCATTTTATTGCTTTTAACAGTGAAGTTTAACAAAGATAAGTTAAAAAAATGACTATATTAGAATAATTTTAGAAGTCACAGTGGTAAAGAGTTTGTGTGTATCACAAATGGCAGAGATCAGCCGGAAAGATTTTTCTGTTAATAGAGTGTTGTGAAAATAAAGTTAATAAGGTAAAATAAAATAAGATTCTTTAGACATTTGTCCATCCGTCTTCTTCCTTTTACTTGACTGGTGATCAGTTGGAATGTTTATTTGTCATGTGGCGTTTCAGATTTCCATTTCGGTTAAAGGTTTGAGAGCAGATGGTACAGAGAAAAAGTTGCTCCATTTGGTGCACTGAAAGAAGATGACGGCCAAGTTGTTCACGATGTTTAAAACTTTCAGCGCAATGATCACAAGCATATGCCTTTGGATCAAGATGAACCTTTTGGTGACGAGCCAAGTTGTATGGAGTGCTGAAGACTTTTGAGCATTCATCGCAACTGTATCCGGTATTTTCTAAAAATAAAATAGTAAAATCAGCACCTGGATTTTAAAAGTCAGTAAAAACATTACCTGAGTATTTTTTGCGATTTTGACTAGAAGTTGTAGACTGGCGAGAAGTTTGAGACACTTCTTGAGATTGACTATAATCGAGTACTGTCTCAACATTTAAAAAGGCTTCTGGATAAGGGATTTCACTTTTGACGTTGAACAAGTTGACCACATCCGTCGGCTGGTTAATGTTTGGCTGATTGGCGTGAAAAGTGCCGAACTTGCTGATCATTTCGAGGGGAGCATTTGAAGCGACTAGAAGATTCAGCACATCTCCAGCCCACTTTTGCGTCATCTGAGCAATCTGCTGCTGAATCTGTTCTATCTTTTGGTCGTCTTCAAGAGAAATCACCTGAGGAGCAGCTGATGACGGTGAGTTGTTGTTGTTGCTGTTGTTTTCCTCTTGAGTTGCAGCAATTCGCGTTGATTTTTGCCATTGAGTTAGACCAGAGGCAACACTACCACTCGAGGTACCTGAAGTCGGGCCTGTACCTGTGTCCATGATCTCCGTAATGCTAGAAAGAGAAGAAACAGAAGCGTAATGTGCCTTTTGGTGAAGTTTGTTTTGAAATCTGAGGCAGGGAATGGACACTTGCCGCAAGTGACTTGCGCGTGAGAGCCAGTCGTTCTAGCGGCACTGTTTACTGTGCGCACCACCACAGCTTTTGCACTGCCAAAGTTACAAGTCGGCTATAATCACTTTGGTTGAACGTAACGTTGATTGTACAAATTTTTTTGCTGCTGTGGTGTTGCCACTACTACGACTGGAGCTGGCGCCTAACTGTCCATTCCCTGATCTGACAAGAACAAAATTTTGAAGCAGGCAGCTTTCCTGACATCTACCGGAAACTTTTAGCGAGACTTTTTTGTTCGAAACGGGAAAATAGAACTGGTCAAGCTTTATTTAGCGAAAAATGACGATCCATAAAGAAAAGAACACAAACGAATCATAAATCAAAGAATCTCAGGGAAAGAGGACCTTGCCGCGACACTGGTGGTCATCTCCTCGCGGGCAGTTGATCGCCTGCAGGCTCTTGTCCAGGCAGATGTGCGCCTCACTGAAGATAGAGGTGGTGGCATTTTTACCTCCTTTACTTCCTTTGGAAATGGAGCACTCCAGGCGGACCTTCTTGCCCTCGACCAGCGGATCCAGCGCCCGGTGCAGCTCCGCCAGGCTGTACTCGGTGTTGCTCCTCAGCGGCGCCCGGTTTAAGTCAAAGCGTCCGTACAGCTGGAGAACGGTGCTGAAGTACTGCTGCTGACTCTTCAGGCGGTCCACACCGCGGGCGCAGGTGCCGTGCTTGTTGAACTCGTGCGCCCAGAAGGCCTGGTTGCGACCGTTCGCCTGCAACGTGGGCCACTTCTCCGAGAGCTGGCGGACGAGGGCGGCGTCCAAGGCGCTGGCGTTGAAGCTGGGGCCGCAGCAGAAGGCGATGTCGTCCAAGTTTCGATTGCCGTTGCCGTTTCCACTTGAGCCATTGTTCCCGTTAGCCCGGCGTGACCTCCATCCCCTCCTCGCCCGATTCGGCCAGAGACCGTGGACGAGCCACTGTCGATTGCGAGCCAGTGCCAG